AGGAACGTGTGTGTGTGTGTGTGTGTGTGTGTGTGTGTGTGTGTGTGTGTGTGTGTGTGTGTGTGTGTGTGTGCGCGCATGTGTCTTAAATGACCCAGACTAATTTGTGAAAGTCCAGAGACAACACTGGGAAGAGTAGTGCTCCTTGAACTAGTATTCCTCAGACTCTAGGTTGTGTTTGTATTTGCTCATGAACGTGTGTGTGCATATATGTGTAACGGCGTGTGTGCGCGCGCGTGTGTGTGCGTGTGTGTGTGTGTGTGTGTGTGTGCATGTGTGTGTGGCGCAGCCGTCTGTGTTGAAGGAGAGAGAGTGAAGCCTATTGATTATTTTAATCCTCCTATTTGTGAGTCTGTGATCCTCTCGGCTCAGCCTTCCACAGGGGGATTGCTAATGGGGCTGAACGCTTCCCTCCTCAGCCCTCTCTCCCTGTCCAATTAACTTAACGCTGGAATGTGCAAGGAGAGAGCACTGGGACTCAGAGGTGGTGGTGGGGGTGCTGAGATACAACCCCACCAACTCCCCCCTTTACCCCTCTGTCCAGCGTCTCTCAAACCTCGCATCTTGCACCACATTCGGCAAGAACCTCCTCTTCCAGAGCAGTATTACCTCTCACCTTTAATTAAAGATCCATCTCCTTGTTTTTATCCCTGGGAGGTGAGAACTCCCTTTCATATTTCGATGTTTCATTTTCGCAGGGTGGGTAGAAGCAGCAGCAGCAGCAGCAGCAGGTGAGGCAGCAGGTCTTATAATGGGAGCGCTACCTTCAAACAGGTTGCTGTAGCTGTAATCCTGACAGATCTCAGACATTTCAATAAGTATTTGTCCCATTAGTATGTGTGTTCAGCTCTCCGCTGAGGGGAACCAAACTTTTAATTATAAATCTGAAACAAAGAGACAGTGCCAATGTGCACGGGCATTGTTTGACGCAGTTTAAAATTACACACAGGCTCCAATTCCCTAAAGCCACGTAAGATATATTCCACGTACTTGTTTATACGTTTCTGTCTCTGTCTTGCTTTTTTCTCTCATATTTTTGTTGTTCCCTGTCTTGTTAGATTTACAGCACTTTGGTCAACTCCTGTTGTTTTAACAAGTGCCATATATATATAGAATATAAAGAAAAACGTGACCTTATTCGATACTCAGATATTTGCACACAGTGGAAGCAGCCTCTCCTACAGATACAGTATGTGCTGACATATTTGTCCAAGACATTACTAAATATTGATTTTTAATACATCTTGGGAACTCCACACTCATATTTTTTTTATTAATATTATTATTAGTAGTATTGCCAAATATCAATGCCTAAACTGTATGACTAAAAGCCCACAAAACCAATGATTGCAGTTGGGGTGTGTGGATGACCAGGAGCAAAAATATGGTGTGAAACTAACTTAAATGACTATGATTCATGTAGGGGAAATAAAAACGTTTGCTCACGCTATCACGCTTACCTTCGATATTATTATTTATAGTTTTTACTTGCGTCACCTCTCATTGCAAAGAACTGATTAAATAAAATGACATGAAGGAAGACTGTGAACTTGCTTCTCCTCAAAAACAGTTCGGCTAAGATGGCAAGTAAACATTAAACCTGCAAAACCTCAGCATGTCAACATAGTAATCCTGATGTTAAAGTTAGCATTTAGCTCAAAGCACCACAGTACCAAAGTTTGACCTCAGAGAGCTTCTGAAGTGCTGCAGACTGTCTCATTAGTGTAAGAATGAAAAAAAAGGCCTGTCATATGGAAACTAAAGAAACACTGACTATAAAGATGAGGCTCTCAGATATGGTCGCTACCTAAATTTCTAGAAAGGACTGCACTCAAATCTGAGTTATTTTGCCCAGATTGTGAGTTTCATTTTATTGTTTTACTTTATTTTGCTTTCAGAAATCAGAATAAAACATGTATTGTTTTGTCGTTTCCGTACTTATAACTTTTATTTATAACTTCGACAGGATTGGAAAGAGAATTAGCTGAAGTCTCATCATTTTTGTGCTCAGCTGGTATGTAAATTATCACGTTCACATTTTAATAAAAAACAAAGTAGCAGCTAAAAGTATCCATAAATTCATGTTTCAACTCAGTGGTTGGACGCTCATGCAATTTGACCTTTACAAAGTTTAAGATGTTCACATTCGCTGACATTAGCATATAATTTAAATATATTTGTATTATTAGTTATGTTATTATGTTGGTTAAGTTATGGTATTCTTATTATGTGTGTGTGTGTGTGTGTGTGTTCTTACCATTTACATGCATGAAAATGACATATTAGCAATGCAGTCCAATTAAACACCATGACTAATTATGTATAAATAAAATAAAATAAAATAAACACCTCTGTGAAATTTTAAAAAACATTTGGCATCATGAAAGCAGATATTATGGAAGAACTGTTGAAATTAATTGCATTAACTGGTACTAGTGTAGTTGTATTATTCTTTATTTTAAAGTAAGACCAGGAGGAGGTTATTATTTCGTCCTGTTTTTAACGTTAGGAAATAAACGTGCATCTCAAGGCAGCTGTTCTAACTTTGTTTGAATGAATATCTGAAACTGGCTCGAGGATAAATTGGAGTTTGGCGTTAATACCACTAAAATCTTAATGTCTCTGTAGTAGAATGCACCCTGAGAAGAGAAACAAATTCACACAGCTGCTTGTTTCCTGTAAAGTACAAGGAGAGAATAAAGAACAAAAGGAAAACGGAATAGAGGAAACATTGGTTTTACTTGACTCAGTGACAGCAAAATAATCCTGAATTTTCTTTTTTTTAATTATATTTCATGGTCTTCAAGGGCAGAGAAAAATCTATGCGGATTTCATACATAACAAATACACACAACTCAGCTTGCAAAGTACAGTGACAGCAATGAATCCATACTGCTCGCAAACAAAGGCAACAGCGCCAGAAAACACACACAGTAGGATGCAGCATGGCACAGAGGTTATGTAAAGCCACTCTGGGGGGAAGGATGTCTGTGTACAATATACAGCATCAGAATGGTTTTTCAATTACAGCACAAGAATGAAGAGTTGATCAGAATAATTCACATCCAAATATCATCTGGGTACAGTCATGCTACCCAGCTTTAAAGCTGGATCTGTGCCACTTGGTGGGACAATAAAGTCCCTGCCACACATTTTAAATGTATTATTAGGCCAATACGAAGCTCTCTTCTTGTGTGGCACTAAACCTACGATAGATGTTAAAAGGAATTTTAGCCGTCTAAGCATATTATTTAAAAAAAAAAAAAAAAAAAGGTTGTTAAATGCAATAATTTTCTTACATAAACATATTTTTATGTTTTTTTTGAATGCAGAATTTAAATTACACAGCATCATGCTTCTTTTGTTCATTTCCACCATATAGAATTAATGGTGGTCTCAGTTTTGGGGGCTTTTATTTACAGGAGTGAGTTACATCCAGCTAAATACAAAGTTTCACAGTCACTGTCTGCAGTTAGCGTCTGCATTTCATAAAGTGAGTATGCATTAACACGTTGAAGGACCGCCGCCCGTGTTGGTAATAGGAAATCCCTGTCAGATCGCCGTGTGTATTATGTGGATCAGCTTCTTCATATAGCTTGGATTCAACAGGGGAAACCATCTCATGCATAAAAAAGAAAAAATAAATCGATATTATAAGGCACAGAGAACCTATAGGTATGGCATATGGCAGTAAAACATTGACAGCAATCACCTGCGTTTCGAAAACATCTTCACATGTGTACATTCACAGTAAAATTAAAGAAATAGTTTCACATTTTGGGAAACAATTTTCTTGCAAATCAACATTTAAACATGGCCTGCAGTGCAGATGTAAGGAAAGATGGTTTGAGCCTCTGTTTTTTTTTTTTTTTTAATTCTCTACATAACTATTTCTGTCATTTTTTGTGCAAACTAGAGAGTGCAACCTAATGAGTGGCTTCCAAGAGAGGAGGATGTGTTTAAACTTTCTATGTTAGCCAGTTTTTAACACCATCTACCAGTGTGGACGTTTGGAATAACTATAAATACTTCTGAATTCAACATGTTTTACTTCTTTTCCTGCATAAACTGGCCGCGTAACCCGCTGCAGGCCGCAATCTTCTCGTCAAACTCTCAGCAAGAAAGCAAATGAGCATATTTCCTAAAGTGTGGAGCTATTTCAGTACCACGGCACACTCTGGAGAGCTGAGGCTATAGGAGGAGCCTCAGCTTGTTAGCAGGATATGATGAGGCTTTGTCAGGAGCTCGGGAAAACTCTCAAAGCCAAACCTCAGTATTGATATACTGTGTGTGTTAAAGGACTGTTACCAACGACTTGACACCTTTCCTCCCTGCTGCAGGAGTCAGACTGCAACAGTAATGTGATGCTTTTTACACCTCAACACAAACTGAAGGGCAAACACACACATATATACGCTCGCACGCGGGCATGAAGACACGGACGTACAACACCGTGGATTGTGATCATGAAGTTGGCTGTATTATCAGCTGTGATCAATATACTCATGACTTTTCTTGTTTGGTGTCTAGGGCCATATTGAAAATCCATCTCACAGTGAAGGCGAGCGGCTGCAGCCAAATACTCTCCCTGCGACTGACAGTCTACATTCAGATATCGTTTCAGTCGATTTTGGGATGAAATCGTGTCTCAGAGTAACAACTGAAGTTCAATTAATGCGTCGACACCCGTGTTAATATGCGTACAGACAAATGTGTGAACAGGGTGTTTTAGCCATGCTGACACATACTGTACATGGCACAGGATGATGATCACACAAGAGTGTGTATCAGAAGTAAATGTTATCTGGTAATATATATAATACTATATTCATGTTTGCACAAATTCTCTTCAAACTCTATCAACCGCGGTCATGTTATCATGTACCGAACGGCAGCGAAATGACAAACGGCGTTATGGAGGGGCGGTGTGTTAGATGAAGATAGAAGAGGAAACTTTTTGCTTGATTACAGAGAGAGAGTGCAAGAATGAGGGTGTACTGTCAGTCGGGGTAGATGAGGAAGCCGGAGAAGGTGCTGTATTTGTTGGTGTTTCCTCCGTGAACTTTGCCCCCGTCCAGCTGTACGCACACTTCGTCCCCGACGTCCAGGTGCAGGATGACGCTGTTGGAGGCGTAGTCGTAGTTCTGATCTGCGTCTTGAGCGATTGCACTGGCCCTCACCTGAGATAGAGACAGGAAACGTATCCTAAAGTGTGGGAAGCATTTAAGTCGAGAAGGAAAAGAAGACAGTTGATGTCGTGCTGTTGAGATCGGTGTTGCTCTTAATATGTTGCAGTTGTTTTGTTTTTTATAGACTTTTGTGGGAATTTTATTTAGAGACAGAGAAACACAGACGCAACAAAGGTCTTTGCTTTGGACAGCAGCTGCAGGAAGTCTCCATTTATAAATTCAAATTGATACAAACATGGTAGTTATTTTAGGCTTAGCAGATTTTTTTTTAGAAATGTAGTGAGAGCATGTTTTATTAAAATGCAAGACAGATGAGTATTTTTGAAAAGAGGAGGAATGAATTTCAGATTTAAAATCGCCGCTGACATGGCTGTAGCTCAGTCTGACTGAACTAACATCTGATGCTCACACTGACACTTTGATTCAGAAGTGGAACATTTTTGTTCAGAGGATCAGCATATTGAAAGATTATTATTAAATGCACTGAATCATTTAACTAACTCAAATAACATAGATTTTTTTGGTAATATATTACAACAGCTCATGTAATATCCATTCTCCACTACACATTATAAATGCACTATTGATCACTTACAATTGTAATTTTTAAAAGATATTTTCTATATATTGTACCTCGATTCTGCTGTTAGGTAAAACATATTTTATTACAGTTGTTCAAATAGCTTTCATATATGTGATCATACATTTATACGATCATTAACTTATAGTGAAAACGAATGATATTCACTGGCTAGTTTTCAATATTTCATCATAAGAAATCGATTCATTGGCCTCACTTACATGTTTCTACGAATCCACAATCCTGTCTATTCTTCTCTAATTATCACCTGCAGTGGAGACATGTTGCCCACCGCCACCTAAATGTTAATTACCAATAAGCATGACACAAATATGGATTTGTGTTCCACACAGAGAAAGCCAGTGTCGCGCAATCCAGGGGTCTAATGCAACACGTTACAGAGAGGGCCGAAATAATTAGTTTGTTTCATTAACTTTAAATCAATTGAAAATAAATAGGCCGATCATTTAATTAGGTTTATCTTTTTCTTATCACGGTGTACCAACCACAACCAGTTCGTTCACTTTATCTGATTGTGACTGGTGCCATTTTCCTTCCTGTTTTCACTGTGATCTTGGTCTAATGTCATCAGTGCTGATGCCTTCCTGTCCACTGGGTAGATAAATGAGATGTGCAGTGATCTTTGGCCTCAAACCTCCATCTGAGAGCACAACCTTTCTTAGGCACTATCAGTTTTTCCAGAGGGTTATTGCTCTCACAGCTGATCCACCTGTTGCAGAAAGAGAATCTGATGGGGAGTCGCAAAGGGTGGTATCAGGGAACACATCAGTTCATTTGTCAGGCAGGTACAGGAAACACAATTAACCTCCACGCATTCAGATTCTGATCATTGATGCAGACTGACATGTGCTTGTTACTGCTTGTCTACAGCAAGTGTTCATCAATGTCATTAGCTTCTCCTCAGCTTGGTGGAGGGGAAATGAGTGGTCTGTATGAAGGAAAATCACAAGAGATGCTCATTGAACAAGCTGTGAATACAACAAGGGCTTATAGTCACCTTTAAATCGGATGGTGTACCTGGCGCATAGTTGCACATTTAAACATCCACCAGTTATAGTGCACTCATTGTCTTGAAATTCATACTTCTGTCCATCTGATAAATTCAAATCCTCTTTAAATTCGTTTTTTGCTTTCTCAAAAAATATCTGTCCTTTTAGCTGCTGTGCTCCATTATAGCCCCTTTCAGACGTGCGCCCCTCTCCGCTGACCTGAAGGCATCTGAATATGTTGACTTCATGTATGGATGAGCACCCTGGTCACTCTTCCATAAAAGTCACAACTGCAGTCTTACTAGGTTGGACCAAGTAACATTCTTAACATTGCACAAGTGTGAACTGCTTGCAACATAATGGCAGTCCAGCAGGAACATGAGAAAAGTATTACCACCATTAAATTTAGCATTTTAGAGTGGTCAACAAGTTGTAATGTTCTTCTTCAATGTTGATTTAGAGCTATCCACTATTTTTAACGGTTTCGTTAAGCTTATTATTAATCTATGTTTATTTATTTTTTTGTTCTTTAGAACCCCTTTAAACCCAACATTACTGACTAATCTCAAACAAATACCTACTGTGGCGCTCTTCCTTGCTGGGGTTTGAATGAAGCCGTGAGAAATATTAAGGTAAAAAGGACCTGAGTCTGAATGATAGAATATTATCACGTTAACAGATTAACGAGGGCAGCGATGTTATGTATTATATATCTGAAAAGGGCTTAAGTTTACTAACTAGTCACTGTGTTCTTCTCTGTAGGTGGGGTCGGTTCATCTGCGTTTGCTGAAAACAGTTGTCTGGTACAAAAGTAGTAAAACTGTTAAGACAAAAAGCCAGAATAAAAGAGCTGAAAGTCACAAAAATGTTTTGCATGAAAGGGAAGAGCAGAAGCTTTACATTTAGTTGCTTCAAAAGCTGCTGCTAACTAGCATTGAAACACGAACAAGAGAAAACATGAACAAACTAAAGAGTTTAACCCTATTCAGGACTTTCATGTTACCATACGTAGAAGAAAGAATACGTGCAAAATATTTGTTGGTGTTCATTATAGACTTTTAAACTTTGTTAAATACATTTTCTGATAAGTTGACGTATTTTTGGTTCCAAATGCATGACAAATGTCTCTCTTTTTCTGTTTAAAAATAATCTTCAAAAACAAATAAAACAATACCTGTCACCTAAACCAAATGGCCTGGGGTCCAAAAGACCCCAAAAGTCCTGAATAGGGTCAAAAGAAGCAAGATCTAGAGGTATACAAGACAATGTAAAAATGGTAATCAAATGGCAAAAATAATCTGTACGTTGTGTAGTAAATGTGAATAAAATACACATACAAGAACGGAGACAGTTGAGCATCACTATCCTGTAGCCTGTTATCAACACCCCTGTGACACAGTAACAATAACACATTATGATCTTCATAAAACAGGCATTAATTCTGCCACCCAGTAACTGCTGGCATTCAACACTAACACACTATTATGTGTGAAGACCACAGCACTTGGAGCCATATACAGTTTTTAAAAGTAATATGAGCTGATGAAACATTCCTCACCCTTTTATCTTCATGTGGACAGTTTTATGTTTGGAGAAGAGAATGTCATCCGCATGATGCTGGATGTGTAATGGTATGACCAGCCATTTAGGAGCAAGTTGTTCCATCTGATGATTACTGCACATGTTTACAGAGCAGTTAACACTAATATGATACCACTTAACAGCGATCCGTTGATGGCCCCCATATTCCAGTATGATGATTATCCCATACATGTAGTTAAATAAACTCTGCAGAATGAATTCCACCACCATGCAGAAGCCAACACAATTACTATACATGATATCCTCTGCTTTAAGTATCCCAGGATTTAGTTGAACACATTTCAGTGTTGTGAAACAGCTTTTCTGTGCATATCTATTCATTATGTTGTTAAATGTTTCTGTTATTCCGTCCGCTCTCAGTAAAATCTGAGTTGTTTTCGCACTCAGTAAGCAAATCTCCTTATAATAAATTGCACTATCACTGCGTATTCAAGCAGACAATCCATTTAATAGTGGAAAATAAAGTACACATGTGCATACATATTAATGAATGCAAATACGACACCCTAACTCCATCCTTGTCTCCTCCTCTGGGTCTTGGTCTGACTAAGGATATGGTCCATCATCTCCACCAGTCATCAAGCTTCCCTGATCCCTTGTTATCACAAAGACAAATCAGAAAAGACTAAACTGCCCATTTCTCCTCTTCCTCTATCCAACAATGAGGGGTTTTTTTTTCCGCCCATTTCATCAATTCAGAGAAATATATTTCTCTGTACAAGCATTTCTTTCATGTCGAGAAGGTGAACATTTTTATTCCCCTCCTTACGACAGAAATGAATCAATACGTTTCCTTTGTTTTAATTCAACTCACATCACTCCATTAATTGTTGTCTCTCCCTCCACACCTCACGCCCCTTCCATCATCCCTCTCCCATTCGCCACACCATTCCTATCTCTTCATTCTGGACTCATCTATCCATCTTTTTGTGTCCGCACGCCGGAATAAGATGCAGGTCACGCACACATTTTCTCTCCCCCGCCATGGCAGTGTTGGCGGGAGCAACGACTAAGTGTGTCCCTGTCCGGTCTAAATCGGATTGATTAACGACGTGCTGCTGTGGCAGGTCTCCTGAGAACCCCCTCACCCGACCCCCAACACCCCCACCTCCTCCTCCGCCGTGCCTCCCCCCGCCCCCACCCCTTTACAACACCCCCTCACCCTTCTCTTACCTCCAGATGCATCAGGGCAGGCTATACATGGCTACAGGCTACAGTAATTGGTAGTCAGACAGCCGTGGCAGCTCCCCGCCTAATAGGTCCAACTCCTCAATAACTCCATACAATCACAATAAATGGGGGCACAGGATAGGCTACAGTGGTCAAATGGGCCCATGAAATACTAGCAGGAGGTCAGGATTAGATGCTGCACACACACACCAGCCTGCGTTCTCTATGGATCTCGATAAGAGCAGCTCTCTTTCCTCTTTGTTTTTATGAATCTCAAGTGAACACCTGAGATAAAAACACATGCAGCATACAAGACATTTTGTTACTTTATAGTGTTCTCCTGCTTTACTCTGAAGGGACTGAACAGCTCCCCTGAGGAGACCTAATAGGTTTCAGAAAAAATATAACAGTAAAGAGATTCTGACATCTTGTACATCCAACATCTGTCTACATGGTTGAACGGCAGGATTCCCCTGACAGTACTGTCAGCTGAGTTAGAGGCTGACAGGCTGCTGTAACTAGCTATGAGTACAGTACACCGATGAGCCAAAAACATTATGATCAAGTGAACAACGCTGATTATCTCGTAACAGCGGTGCATGTCAAGGTCGGGGATGTATTAGATTCCT